GGATATTTGCTGTTTTCCTAGCAAAAATTTATTATAAAAATATAATTTAACCGTTCTACTCCGTCATTTCATTGAATTCGATGTTGACAATAATATATTTCGTTTGTGCGATTTTTTTCTTCTTTTCATATGGCACGAATGCTGAAGCTGATGTGGAGATTAAAGTTTGCAATAAAGCCGTCCTGCGTGCACAGGATGGACAGGCGGTACAACGCCCAACTATAATCTCGTGCGTCGATTTAGAACCAGCATGCTTCTCTATATTTCCACTGCATCAAGGAGGCGCTCAAACGCTTCAAGATCAAGCGAATCCGTAAATATTTTTTAAATAAACGATTCGAAATATTTATTTTTTCCTTAGCGCTTTCAATTTTTATTCAACTTGGTTGAAGATAGGACATTATTTGAAATTTCCCCAATTCAAATGAGAAATTTCAAGAGTATATTATGTATATATATGAGAATATTAATATTTTAGCATGGCAGCCTATAAAGTTAGTGCAAACTGTTATAAGGTTCCAATGTTGAGATTTGCCGAAGAGTTTTGTCCGCGGACATGCGCAATGTGCTGCAAAACAAAAGAATATAACTGCAACAATCGTTGGTTAAAAAGAAAATTGAATTTTTTTCTTTTCTTTTAGCAGAAATCGTAAAAAAATTACGATTAGGATAATTATTACCAACTAATTAAAATACCAAAAATCTTTTCTTTAGTTGGACAATGTGAAGGTTTTACGCAAATCATGTGCCGCGATCCTCGCTTATATCAAATAGCACTAGCAAGCTGCCCACAAACCTGTGGACTTTGCAATAGACCTGGAGCTGGAGGAACGTGTCCAGACACCATCAGTGGGTGCGAAAGGCTGGCAACATTTTGTACTGATAGCAATGTCAAAAGGCTATGCCAGAAAACCTGCTTCTCACGAGACTGCCTTACAAATCAAACAAGTAGGTGATAATTATCGAAGATTAATGGGACAAAAATTTTCCATTACTATAAAAAAGTTATTAAGAAACTAATGCCATTGCAATTATTCAAAATTCCAAAAAATATTGTATTAGCATATATTCCATATATTTCGTCGCGGAAGCTAAAATATTATAAAAAAATGCCTAAAAATTTTATAATATCTTTAATTCTTGCAAAAATTAATAGAAAATGATAAAAATGATAAAAAGGTGAACGATGTTTCATTGCTCAAAAAGTAATCGAATATTCTTCGAAACCATTTTCAGTTTTTTTTTTAAATAGAGTATCAAACTAACAGCAATGTAAGAACTTATTTTGACAAAATTCATCTTTATTTTTAAATTGTTTACAATATTCATATATACCACTATGCTTTCATCTTTAAAATCGTGCAGAAACCTAATAATAGTTGTATTTACAACAGTATCGCCTGCTGGAAGCTGTCGTGATGAGCATGCCGACTGCCCAAAGTATAGCTATCTTTGCAGTATTGGCGATTATGGAACTGTTATGCGAGTTAAATGTCGGTTCACTTGCGGTCTATGTCGATAAATTGAGAATGAAACAATTAGAAAAAAATTTTTTTTTCTATCTTTGGAATAAAAGTTTACTGTTGAAAAATTGAAGAACAATTATAAAACTTCTTTGAAATCAAATTTTCAATTTTTGCAAGTCCTTTTATGGCGTTAAGCTTTAAGTTTCTTAATTACTCACAGATTTAAATTTGGTGATAAATGTCTACCAGGCCGATCTTTTTCTGCGAAAACATAGTGACACCATTCAGTGTTATAAACTACCGGGATGGGAAGCGGATTATTATGCGAATCTGAATTTTTACCCAATTAAGAAATCTGGGCAAGTGATCCGTTTGCTTAGTTTCCAATGAGCGCTACGCCTGACAAATAGCTAACCAGAGAAATTGTTTCGTTTTATTATAAGCAATTTAGAATTACAAGTGCGTAAGAATATCTGACCTTTCATGATATAAGTTTAGCCGTACTCCTTGAAAAAACTGCTAGTTCAAAAAAAACTCGGCTAGTTTGTAACTGCATTTATGCTGGTGAAATGAAGCTCGCACCACAGCAGCAAGCGAAAATAAACAATGGTCTTTTTTAATCGTGGAAATATGTTAAAAATTTAAATC